CGCCCACAAATGGACGACCGTTTCTGACGCTCGTATTCATTCATTTGCTAAGCAAATTATGAAGCGAAGGGATTGGTATGAAGCGGCGGTGATGCTGCATGCATATATGGGTACACATATGCAGCCGTATCTTCGGTAGCGGTGATTGGCAAGATGCGTACGGGAAACTCGTCCGAAATCGATTTACAAGTCACTGAGAACGGAGGCTTTTTCTTCGCCGGATTTTGACCGTTTCACTCCGTTCTTTCGCCATTTCCCCACTATACAGCGCCCTACTAGCATTTTAGGCTAAGTAGGAAACCATCGTGCCAACTGCCTTTAAGGGCTTGTGTTGAACTATGTTGATTCCTGTTGATTCGTCGGGTTAGCTGGATTGCACCTGTGAGATGGATACACTGACTCGAACACCGGCCAGGTTCTACGATTATCACTATCTTTGCCTTTCGTTGGGTATTTTAATTCTATCGGAACCCGATCCGTACCCTGTCGGCTGGTCATCGTTTTTAATATGCTGAGGTGTAAATCAACATTTCTACTCTCTCAGTGGAAAAAGCCAGCATTCGCTTTTTCGCTCGACCCTTGGTGTTAAGTCGTCAGCAAAGCAGAATTGTTGTAATTTTCAAAAACTGGCCTTCATTTCCACTTAACTTTTCATTTCATAGATACTTAAATCCGAGATGGCGCTATAAGGCCTATTTTTTGCCACTGTTTTCGGGTCATGTATTATCGGAGATCCTCCACTGGCTGTAACGTTCCATTTGGCGCTCAGCCAGCGGAGGTTACTGGCACTCCCAGGCGTCAAAAGTGACATAACATTTACTCAGAATGCCTTTTTCAGCACGAAATATGAAGGAGTCCGAGCACCACAGCCTTACAACTCGTCCAATCTCGACGCTCTCATGCATACGGCTATTTCCCAGGTACGTTTTGGGGAAATAGGGGGTAAAGTGCTGCATGGGTAGGCTCGTACACTGTACATTTACCTTCTGGGATGGATTATAAACTTTTCAGGTTCACTCACCTGCCATTAAGTCACTGATTAGTTATGTAGTACAGTTCCAAATCCTGAAGTCAATGTGCCCTGCTGGAACAGTACTGGTAAGTTATTGACTTCAAAGTAACAACAGAACTAACTAGCAGTTATTGAGAACATGCAGTCCACGGTGTGAAAAATGATTTCAGAGCGAAGGATGTATTCTCTCTGAAGTCACCACAGAGAAGCTTCGTGAGGTTATGAAGAAGGGATCGTCTATCACTTGGTTACAAGCACTGGAACAGCTCACTGGATCCAGTGGGTCATTTCTTATGATATCAAGCACTGGAACAGCTCACTGGATCCAGTGGGTCATTTCTTATGATACAAGGCTAAGTAAGGGTACGTAGTCATTACTCCAGTCTAAAATTCTTTCTTACAGAGCAGCTTGATGCTTCACCTCTACTGGAGTACTACGAGCCACTGGCTAACTGGCTAAGGAACACCAATGAGGTTGACCAGACCGTTCTAGGCTGGGATGGTGATGGCAGTGCTTTCACAGCGTGAGTACAGAATAAAGGCTTTCTTATTTTTAGCAGGTTACTTTCATTTACAGTTTCAATTGAAAGTACGGTAAAATTTGCTCTCCTTTAATTTTAATCAATTTAGTGAAGAGATTCCGAAGCCAAGAGCTGGTATGGACGGCGGTAGCGGAATCCTTAGCGAAGATCGCGTTGCTTTCCCTGGTAAGTTTCGTTGAAGTATACAATAATCCATTGCGGACCGCCTCTTGTGTACACGCCTTTTACGCCTTCTTCTCCACTGCGCATGAAGAGGCGTGACGGTAAGGGTGGGGTTGGCACGGTGCCAGTCCGTTTTCCACAAGTTATTGGAGCGAAAAAGAGACAACAATTGGAGGAAAACGACTGACATGAGCGATATTACACAGCATTGTCGTTGCCGAAAATAAGAGAAAGAAATGGGGTGGAGTTGGGCTAAACCCATCCCCCTGACACGCCCTATCTCCGCAGGAAACAGGAGTATATCTCTTTTTGTCAAACTTTGCCATACTCTGTTAGAGCATTTATTTAAAAGAAAGAAATCGTTTATGAATGAAATTTACCAGTTAGTAAATCGAGGCAATAAATAACCTAAATCCCTATGGTTAGAAAGTTGTAATGTATACTGCCAAAGAGGATGGTAGGTGGAAGACTTTATTGAAATTGGCCTGACGTTTCGACGGGATCGTTTAGCGGTGTAGAGGGTGCAACAAACCTTGAGCTATGTTTAGGCCTCTGAGGACGACGATCCCGTCAAAACGCCAAGGCCAGTTTCAATAAAGCATTACAGCTTGAAAGTTCACAAGGTTTTATGAAGACAGAAGCCGGACACCTTATGGTCAGAATGAACTGCTGCCATCTTTAAGGAGGTCTGTGTGCAAATGGGCAAGAGTGCCTTTTGGATTCGCACTGTAACGGTACTATCTGCATATGCAATGATGGCCTGTACACGCTGGAAATCGGTACAACAGTGAACTGTGTCCCAGGAAATCCGGCTGATAGCGGCTTCGGTGATGGAAAGGTGAGGGTATTCTCTTTGGTTGTTCTTTCTTAGCTACGCTCACGAGGAAGAGCTTACAATTTGACCGGGTCCTTGACCCTGGAGAACAAATATAAGCCGGGTATCCCATATGGATAAATTATAGTTTGGTCGCTGTCCTCCTTTCTGATTCAAGTAGCGTCGAAACAGTTCTGCAACAAAATAGGAGTCCGGACCCGTTTTACTCCGCTGATTTTCGTCCGAGTCATCTTTGGCTAGTGCTTACAAATCTCTTTTAACGTTTTACAGTTACACTGCTGCCTTGACGCTTCATCCAGATGTGTATGTGATCCAGATGTACAAACCCATGTAAAGGCTAAGGTGTTGACGAGCGACGTCGCATGCGCGACATTCGCACCATAAAACCAAAACGACATGGAATTAACATGCAACGAAATTTTATTATTTTACGAATGAAATAAATTTTTACAAGAAAAATAATCACAAGTTACCCTCACGTATCCCTGGTTCGTGAGGACGTGACGACTTCTGACCATTTTTCTCCCTAAAGAGTTAAATGACTTTTGCAGACTTCCCTTTGACCAGCCTCAGAGGCTGCAAAAAAGTGAATTAGGTTTTGTTCGGAATGCCTTTTTCAGCAGAAAGTATGTTTTAATTTAATTTTAATTTGAAATGCATTTTCATTACTTTGCGCTTAACACATAATTAATGCAGTGTGTGAAGCCAACTAGCCTTCAAATATTAGCTAACTGGTGTACTGTGAGTCACCGATACGCGAATATAGTAACCGTAACCTCTTTTCACAGGGTGCTATCGGACTGTCACATCCTTGGCTTCAAAGGGATAGCTGTAAGGCATTCATAGTTAGCCCTGGTAAAGGGGTATGTCCACTCATTTGATTACCCACTAATCGAATCCCGTCAAGGCCGACTAGGAACTTGTTCCTTCGCCTTATCTTTTAATAGGTACTGCACTGATTGAGGGCGATAAACTCCCAGACAAGCAGTAGCTAGCTTTGGGAGTTATTGTTCAACCCGGTAGCAGCACACGCCATCGCGTTGTGATGAATTCCTGCAAAATACGACCCCCTAATTCCATCCTCTGATACGCCCCCTTCCCCATCCTACCTACCACTTTCCTAGATTTTCCCAACTTCCTACCACTTTTCCAGTTTTCCCGGCATTTCCCAAAAACAATCCTAGTTTTTCAATGTGAAACGGCGAAAAACCGCAAAAAGGCAACAACCGGGAAAAGTTTTCTTCCCAACGCCGCAAACTCTTCTCAACGACAAATACGACCCCTCCCCCCTCCCCCTCCTTTATAGCGTCCGTGAAACAAGATGAATCAACTATCAAAAAAATTTCTCAGACCAAATACGACCCTCTCCCTCGCGGTCAGATACGCCCCCCCCCGTTGTGATTATCACAACGATGGTGTGCCCTGCCTGGTAGGCAATTCTGATGCAATAGGTCATTTATGAGAAACGTTGGGTTAAGTGGAAAGATATGTACATGAGGGCCATGGGGCATTCAGAGGGGAATTCAGCTAATCAAAACATTTTTCCCTGACCGGGCTAAAGCAGTCTCAGCCTTGTAAATGGGTAGCGTTCTTCAGAACTCACAGCAAATTTGTGCAGTTCGAGCTTGCATTGGTATAGTAGGTGGTTCTCCAATGAAAGCTCATTTTCGCTCAATCTGGTGACTCTTTATCTTT